AGGCGTCGTTCGAGGTGCACGCTCTCAAGGAGGCGCAGACGCTGCTCAAGATGCAGGAGGCCTTTGACCGCGACCTGACCGATACCTTCACGGGGCTCAGCGTCAACGAGACCATGTTTAAGCTTATTCGGCTAGGGTACCACAAACGTGCGACAAAGATCCAGAGCGAGTTCAAGGTACCAGAGAAGGTTGCGTGGTGGCTCAGGTTAGTAATTTCTTTCTTCCTTCGTGTCCTTGTTCCTCCACGGCTTCTAGTCTATCCGTCAACCCCTCTCTATTCCGTTGCCAAGACGGAGAGGTATCACACGACTGCTAACCCCCACCTTCTTCTTCATAATAGACTACGCGCCCTGGTTGCAAAGCGAGACTGGAACGAGATTGAAGAGCTCGCAAAGACGAGAAAAAGCCCGATTGGGTGGGAGGTAAGCTTTCCTTCACGAACAATCGACTACACACTGTCACAAAACCATGAAGAAACCCGCGTGTTCGGCGTACCGCTGTTCTCCGTGGACACGTCGGAATTACAATTTACTGTAAACCGAATGACGGAAAGGAAAACCAGCTAACCTCCGAGCGCAGCCGTTTTACAACTTCATGCTGCAGGCGGGTAACCCGCGGCTGGCGGCGGTCTTTGTGCCAAAGTGCACGGGACTGGAACCGGGAACGACCATTACCATGTACGAAAAGTGCGGGATGCGGGTCAAGGCGGCGGAGGAGGCGGTGAAGCTCAAGGACGCCGAGGCGTGGGGTAGGCTCCTCGAGGCGGCGGGACGGGGAACGCAGGAGGGGCGGGAGATTGAGAAGCTCGGAGCCGCGGTTTTCAAGAAGTGAGGCTGGCGATTGTTTTTTTGCGAAGGCGAGGTAGGCGAAGCATTTGACGCTTTCTTCGAGGACGAAGATGATGAGATCAGACGAAGGAGAGGGGGGGGGGGGCGCGGGGTGCCAGGGTTAAAAGGGGTTGTCGTCGGTGTTTTGATCTCCCTCCTTACCATACCATACGTAATCTGACCAGAATTAAGGTGATGCTCCGCGGCTGCTGTCGAAGATGAGGAGCTCTTCCTTGAGAGTTTGCGTTTGAGGCGATGTACATATGGGAATGGGGGTCGTCGTCGATCCGGGGTACGCTTGCCCACCGGCTGGTCGGGAACTAGGATTTCCCCAGGGCCAGGACGTGCGTGCGCGTAACGTGATTTCTAGCTTTGTCGAAGTCTTCACGGCCGATTATGCCAAAGGGAAAACTCAGGCCATGCCAAGCCCTAGTCTACCAAATGTGCCGGATCGTCTAGCTGTCTGACAGGCTAACATCGATTCTTTGACGATTGCTTCCGGATACAGCTTGGCTTGGCAGACGTCTAACATAGTTCGAAGTCTCGAGACGCTCAGCAAATCCAACTTGTCTGGCAGGTGTTGCAAGAGCAAGTGAAGAGAGGGCATGAAGAGGTCGCGTGACAGATTGATCTACACGTGGGTGAACCACGGGAGACCGCCACGCCGACACAGGCTCCAGGGTTCGACGACGGGTGCTCGCGAGCTAAGATAGCGCTGCGGATGAGGTTTGATGCTGTTTGCTTTTGAATGTCAGTTTGTCGAAGGGCAAACAATTGGATTTTGGTCCTAGGAACAAACGCCCCTTTTGGCAGTGAGATTGCATATGTGGAATAAGGCGACGAGCCAGGGGCCGTGGTCTCAGATGGGACACAAGGGAGCAATGCAGAGGGCGATGTTCTAGGTTGAACCTAGGGCGGCTCTGGCGGGAGGTCTTCTTGAATCAGGTATTAGGTTCTGGGGGACACCATCTCGGAGGATTGATGGAGCATGGGGGCGACGACGGTCCGATATGCCATGCTATGCGCAAAAGGTTTTTTCTGAACATGTTTGCTCGGGAGCGACAAAGCATGAGCGAAAAATCGGTTGAAGCAGGTTCGTCTTTACGCAGAGATGAATACCGCGAATGCCAGTGGGTGGCTGACAGTGAATACTAAGTTTCGTTCTGTAACGCCCTAGTGACTGGTGATGGAGGGCAAGGAAAAACAGCCCCGAGTCAACTTTGGCTGACTTTTTTGGGCCATCAGCAGTGTTAGTGGCCCAATACCTACGTGTGCCCAGGACGTAAGATGTGCTGATTGCAACAGATCATTGGCGTGTGGCGTCTCCTTGAGCAAGCGACGTCAAGCGCTGACCACTGTAACCGAGATGCTGGGAAAGGCGGATCTAGATCCTCATCTCTGGGCATGCGCTGAGCCTGCATTTGGCCAAGATGAGACGAAGGCGACTAGAATATGGGAATTGCATAACAGTCACAGTGCTGAAAGCAGCCGTCCGGGAATAGGTTTCTACAAAGAGCGAGCTGTAGGTAAAGGCGGACGGAATTGGGGTCCACAGCGGGCTCGGCCCCGGAGAAGAATCGGAGGGCGCATGAGTTGAGGCGTCTGCCGCCAATGAATGGTCTTGGCAAAGCCTCCTCACGACAAGGAGGAAGCCGACTCAGGGTGGCGAGGCAAGGCGAGGCGACCAGCGGAAATTCGCTCTTTGGTTCAGCAGGCAGTATCGGGTTCGGATCCGTGTTCCTGATGAGCTCTCGGCCTTCTAGAAAAGTTCTTAATCATGGTTCTAGTCCCGCCAAGACAGTTGGCATCTGGTGTTGAGAGGTTAGGCGGAACGGAATGGACATGTCCCAGAGTTTGCTTTTGTTTTCGCAGTGTCGCAAGCGTTATGGTGGTGGTGAGTCGGATGAGGCTCGGGACAGCGGATGACGGACCGGACGAGTCAGTGGCAGAGGGACCGCATTCTTGAGTATGGCGGGTTCAACTCCCACATCGTCATTCAGCTTTCATCCATGTTGGAGAAAGTCTGTGATGAAACGACCATCGATCAAGACAAGCAGGGAGCTGTGGTGCCGTGAAGTTGTGATTTGCCTTGGGCACAGCGAACACTTGCAATGAGATCCTTGTGCTGGGGGGCGCCACAGTATCGGGGTGGGATTCCCAGCCTTCTGATGGACTTCCGGCGGGGGAAGATTTCCTGACCCAATCACCATAGCGGCCGAAGTGAAGGGACGGCATGGGAGCAAGAGAGTGACGGACGGAGGTGGCGGGGGTTCTCGGTCACACGCCTCGGTGCCTTTCGGTGGGCCTGAGGTTCCCTGCCTCCTATCGTGGGCGAAGGAGGTACTCGAGATGCAGGACGAGCAAAGTACCTTAATCCTCTCGGTTAGGTAAGGTAACCTTGGCAAAGCCGATGGCCTTGGACTCGTCGGACGCAACCCTCAACGGAGGGTCGAAGGGTCTATTCAGGGAGCTAGGGAGCTGGATGGCCGCTAATCTGGTGATTGCGTTAGCGCGAACAGCCCCCTGAGAAAATGGTTCGCCATTGTCTCTCGCGTGCGGCGTATCTAACCATAGGAAGCCTGCAGCTTGAGGACGAGGGACAAGCCAAAGGACCTCAAACCACTCACGCGGTGCTCTTGGTGGAGAGGTCACTCAAGAGTCTGCGGACGCGGGTGCAGAATGCAGAGAAACCCAGCGAATCGGCCGGCGATATGCTGGTCGGCTGCATGTCAAATCATTCCCGTCCGTGACAGCGGTGCAGTGGTGCTGTGGACGGCGCGGGTTTAAAGAAGTGGGCGAAGTGGATTATGAGGTATCCAAATACTGCAGCCGTCTTCTGTAGTTAGGCCGCGAGGAATGTGAGTTGGAGCAAGGTGAAGAAGTGAGCTGACTTTGTCATATCCAATTTTTGCGGTTCAGGAGGCTGGTGGTGGCCCTGTTGTGCCGTTATTCCAAGGTTGATGGACATGAAGCTGATGGAGACTATGTTTTCACTCCCTCTTTTTTGGTGGAGAGATGACGGTAGGCGACGGGAAGGCCGGAAATAACATGGCGCGTTCTTTTCTCTGCCGATGTCTGCTCTGATGTCTGCATCTGATGGGGAAACTTGCAAAGTGTCTAATCGTACGCCGTACGGTTGCTGTTAGGCTACCTTAGGCGGGAATCGCCGTCGTATTGGACCAAGGCAGGTACCAGTCACGATGGATCGTGTTCATGGAGCATTGCGGGAAGGTGTCGTAATGCGGTCTTAGTAACTGCTCGGACGTTGCCGACCCCCTTTTTCACTCACTCCTTTACTAATTACCTCGAGACACCTAGCATCATAAATGCCATTGTGTTTGCCTTGCATTAAGGTCTCCATGAATGATGACAAGCTCAGAGAAAAGATCGTGAGATGCCCTGATCTTGATGAGCAGCGATGAGGTAAAGTGAGAACTGGCAGAGGCTTTGCAGATGGTGATTCATCTCCTGGCCAGTGCCGTGCACTCTGGTCGCGGATGCTCTTTTGAGATGATCGTGCCTGCCTCACTTCCTGGGATCTGAAGCATTGGCCATCGCGCAGATGCAGACACCTCCTGTGCTCCTTCCTGCCTTCACACCGGTACCTGCCCGACTGCCTTACCTTAGTATGGCGTGTATGGATAGCACCTTCCATTGAGTGCCAAAGTGTCTCTCGTCTCGTGTTGCAGCCCCGTGCTTCCGCGGAAAGAAGGCGAGACAGAGCACCTGCCTTGTCCAACTCTGAGTGGTCCCGGTGGTCGACGATCGAGAAAGCCAAAAGGCACTTTGGGATGAAGAAGGTGCGAGGGCGTCCCGTGCTACCTACTGCGTAAGTGAAGGCAGGTACGCTTGGGCGGACTTTCCACCACTTCATCTCAGATTCCCAGATCTTTCCGCCGCCCTTCACTGATGGGGCCGGTGTATCTCCGATGCTTCGTTAATCTTCCTTCCGTCTCTTCCATTCAAGCATCCCACCCAACTCCCAATGCCTCAACACCTACCTCACTTTACCGGTAGGTACTCAACTTTCCAGATGACTGACGACGCATCCGGTCTGACTTCTCCGACCATCTTGTTCCCTTCCGATGACGGGACTTCGATCCAGCTTTGATCCAGCTTCCTGGAGCTGGGCTGCCGCTGGGCTTGACACTGAGACCCCCAACCCAAATGACCCTGCCGTGTGTCTGTGCTCCGCCGTTCTCGTTGCTTCTTCTAACCATTCTGTACATGGCAGCCGCGCATCTCCCGATTCAAAAACCGATTTGACCGCCCGCCTCAAGGCGCATGCAGAATCCGAGACGACTATTTCGACACCCATCCCTCCGGTAGCGGCCCGCATGTGCTTTTGATCTGTTCCAACTTGAACACTCAACCGGCGGGAGAGGAGAGAGACAACGGGTCATGAACTGGCAGCAACGCGGCCTCATCGCTGTATTATCATTAGACATCATCGACGTCGTCGGTCACGGCATTTCTTCCCATGAGCAACTCCATGTGTGCCACACCGACGTCCATCTGTATTCGTAGGCACGAATAATAGCGTACCTACACTACTGCGTACCCATCCGCATCCACTGGATATCCCGGCCAACCCACACGCTTGCAGCAAGCATATCCAGGCGCATTGGATCCTTTCCCTTGCACCCCTGGCCCTGGCTCGCCTCTACGTCCCCTCACTCCCTCTAGCCAGTCTTCTGTCCGGCCCTAAACCAAAGGCAACGCCGTAACACTATCAACAACGTCCCCTGCCATTCCCGGCCCAGAAAGACGAGAACACACGCACATCTCAAGGCTCAATCCCTACCATACGGCAACTGCCACACCAATACGGGTCCCCTCACCCTGGTCGTGTGTCTGTTGCGGTTGCTTGCCAGAAGTCCAGACGTCGTCATTGTCCCCATAAACGCCCCCATCCCCCCCTCTGCCTTCAAGCAGGAGCAGACGGGAGAGGGTGAAGAGGGAAAAAGAAAAATTAAGTGGCACGCGCGCCAACGAAAAGCTGACCGACTGGGCTGGACCCCGACTTGTTCTCTTTACGTCCAAGTACCTGACCTGGACGATTACACTTCCGTGACTTCGTACCAGTTCCAGCTCCCACTGCCCAACTGCCCTGTCCTTGAGGCCCTTGCTTCATCGCCAGCCCAGCATCGAGACCAATTCTTCTCTTCTTTAGCTTGCGTCCCACCTAAGGTACGGTCCTCTGTACGAAGCACTCTATCCGTAGAGCCTACCTGACCTTACCTTACCTAGAGTCCACAGTACGGATACACCTAAAACTAGTCGTCTCGTGTCTCCCGCCCCCCATCGTGCCCTGCCAAGGTACTTCCATCCAGGACCACCACAAGTACCTTTTCTTTGGCCTGGCCTCTTTCTTTCGTCCAACCTCACCGTCCACGGCCGCGGCGCACTGCTTTCACGCCTAGTCCATCTGGCTGTCCGGGCTCTTCCTTAGCCACTTGACCCAACTGGGACTGACACTGACGATTACGACGAGGAACAAGAAGAAGTCGACGCCCGTCCTTCTTGGCTCCAAAGCCGAAATACTGACCCTTTCCCCAATCCAGCCGAGCACCACAGACATTCAAGCATCCTTCACTTGCAACTTTCTGTCGTCCAGACTAAAAAAACCGTCTTCCCCAGGCCTTTTTTCTGATCCCGGGCGTAATCTGCTTTTCTTGGTCCATAATACCACTCATCTCTCTCATCTCTTACTCTCGGACCTAACCTCCCATCTCCCTCCTGTCTCGACGATTCCTCCTTGGTCGTTCTCGTCCCTTTGGTCCCTCTGTCCAACCTCGCCTTGCCTCGCTGGCCCACGCCTTGACAGACAGGAACTCGGCATACAGAGCAGAAGAGAGTACCAACACCGAAGCTTGCTTTCTAGACAGGATCCAGCGACATTCCAAGCAAACACAAGCCGTCTAGACTTCCTCCACTCCCTCTCCCTTCCCTCTCTCTCTCTCTTATTCCACCCCTTCACCACATTCTTCCCATAACCTCTTTGACGCCCTCACTCTCTACTTGCACCCCAAGAGAGACACCCCCAACAAGGCAATCCACAATCCCATTCTCCAAGGGACAGGGAAAAGACAAAAAACCAAGCAAAATAGGTCACTCAGACAAGTCCGCCGACGCCCAGTGATTCAGCCAGCTAGTCAGCCAGACCGCCAGCCGAAACCCACGAGTCGAGAGCCGGCACCATTGCGACACTACCGCCTGATTTCCAGACGGATTCTAACCCTGCGGCGGCCACTACTGCTTATTGCACCCACCGCCAAAAACAGTCACGTCTAGCCTAACAAACACCACCCATTCTTCTTTTCCTCCCAGGCTCCCCTCCCCCCCTCGAGGCGCAAATGTTTACACAACCAGTCGCATCGCCACCGACCGTGGGCCCCGTGCCGACGTCTGTCACCAATCCCGCTTCACCCTCAACACGATCCAGTCGCCTGAGAGGCCTCAGTTATCTCCGCAGCTACACTCAAAATCATATTTTGTCCCGAGAACATAGTAGCCAGGGCTCCAACTCTCCAACATCAAACTCGCATTCCCACGTCGCCGCCCACTCACACTTTCACCACAACACCGGCACCAGCCCGCACTCTCAGACCCAAACTCAAACTCAAAATCAAAACCACCACAACAGTCGTCCTGGTTCTGGTCGCCCAACCCCCGGTCTGCAGCGTTCCCTCAGCTATTCGCCTACTTCAACCCCTCGTCGCTCCGACACCGACGCCCATCTGAACCCTCTGTCGCTCGTCGCCTCACTACAGGAGTCACCATCATCGTCAACCTCCTCCGCCAACAGGGCTTCCACCACGCCCTCTTCGCCTGCCGTCGAGCGCCCGCCAGTGGATGCGCTCCCCTCTATTCTCGACGACGTCATTGCCAGCGGCAGCACCAACAGCCACATCCGGCAGCAATCTGACCAGCAGCCACAGTCGACCAACGACGCTGGAGCCGCGAACATGACGAGAGCACGCGCCTCTACTACGGGCGACGCCCCTGTCGCAGCCTCCCCCGCGCCCGAAAATCTACCTTCGATCCGATTTTCTGCCTACTATGACCCCCGTGCGACACGTCCCAGCCTGACCTTCCCTCCAGTCTCGAGAACGTTGCCCTCGAATGGCGACATCATCAGGGTCGGCCGCTACTCAGAGCGAGACAACCAGCCCAGCATCCCCAAACACTCCTTCGGCCGCGCCCGTTGGTTTCAAGAGCAAAGTTGTCAGTCGCCGCCATTGCGAATTTTGGTATGACGAAGGTAAATGGTACATCAAGGATGTCAAGAGCTCGTCAGGCACCTTCCTCAACCACATTCGACTCAGCCCTCCAGGAACGGAATCCAAACCATTTCCCGTCAACGATGGCGATATCGTGCAGCTCGGCATAGATTTCAAAGGCGGCGAGGAAATGATCTTCCGCTGCGTCAAGATGAGGCTGGAGCTGAACAGAGGCTGGCAGAACAAGTTGAACACGTTCAAGTAAGTTGACCCAATTTCGACCGTATCCGCCCTGGCGCTTACATCATGCAGCATGGCGACGCACAAGCGATTGCGGAACATGACCGCAGCCAACTCGGCGAATTCCTCGACGCAGGACTGCTCAATTTGTCTCAACTCTATCGCGGTATGTAGCCGCTGTGCGAACGGATCCCCACATTCCTTGAGGGCAAGCAAGCTAATTGTCTCCTAGCCCTGCCAGTGCTTGTTCGTGGCGCCTTGCTCACATACCTGGCACTTCAAATGCATCCGGTCTCTACTAAATTCTCCCCAATACCCCATCTTTGTTTGCCCTAACTGCCGCATGGCCGCCGACCTCGAAGCGGATATTGAGGATCCGGAGGAGGATTGGGAGCAAATGGAGGAAGACGAGGAGCCTGAACAAAAACAACAAAAGCAGGAGGACAAGGAGACACCGGCTGTCCCGATTGCGCCCTTGGCAGCTCCCGCAGCCGTTGTCAGCTCGAGGCCTCAGCTCCCTGAAATCGGCACCGATGATGATGCCATGGACGATTTCACGGTGGCCTTGGACCGTGCAAGAACCGTCGCCGAAGCTCCAGAAGCAGCGCCGAGGACTGTCGCACCCCATACATCCATCCCCCCTGTTCCGATCCCAGCAGTCGGCGTGGCCCAGACAACTGCACCGCGAAGCGGCCGAGATACCCGAACTCCCTCGCCCATTGGTAATCACTTGGTCAACGCTACTGAAGGCCCTATAACCCCGCGTAACGATGCTGGTCCATGGGTCTTTGACGGCAGTGCAGGGCGTCGTGCTGCCGAGGCGTCCAGCGGAATGCGAAGTCTTGATGCCGCCGCCGAAATGGAAGTTGACCGGTAGAGCCGGTACAGACGTTTACGCAGAGGCATGGTAGGGAGACGTCAAACTACCGGCCTAAAGCATAGGTCAAGTTTTGTCCCCCAGGCATAGAGTGACGCACCCTCACGGAAACGTGCGCGCCAACTACGAAGACGGCGAGAGAAGGAAAGGAGAAATGTGTTACCTGTTGCGCAGGATTGAGCGAATAAGTTGCATGAGCGAAGGCGTGGAATGGTGTATGGCGTTTGACTGCATTGTGGATCGCTGTATGCAAACCATAGCGAAACAGAGCTATGGTGTTACTTCTCGACTAGGTTTACGGAGGCGGGCTCAATGAAAGGGCTGGCATTTTCTACTTCGGTTACGACAGCGGCTTCTACATGAATCAGGGAGATTCGCAAGCCAGGAGATGGATTCATAGCATTCTTCTAATACAGGATTGGCGAGCCTTAAAACTCGCCTTATCGATACAAAACGTTGCAATGGGGGACTGGATTATAATCCTCTTGTTGATTACAATTTGGTGCCAGTCGCATGTTAATGACTTGGCTAGTAAACTTGGGGAAGTGTTTTTCAATGGGTTGGACTGTGTTTTGAGCGGTGCTTACGAGATCTCCGAGCCATGAGACGACACAATTCGCGGAATACGAGCGGCGCTGCTCCCAAATGACGTCTCTTTGATAGATGCATCGTCTGCCATCTGATTGGCTGAGTGCGGTACCCCACAAAGACCGACAGTACCGGGACGATAAGGCGATAAGCAGCACCAAGAATTGGATGCGTCAACTCCCGTGAGCACCGAACTTTTCCATAGCCTCGCCATTGTGCACCATCAACCAACAACCGCCAGGGACCACCATTGATCGCACACACTTCGACCGATCATCCGAAGCACATATCACAGATCTCACACACGATGCTTCGATCATTGGCGACGCGCCTCCCGCGGCGCGCGGTCGCTTCCACAACCCCCCGTCTTACTACCAGCTTCCGCCCCTCTATCTCTACTCCCTCTTCCCGCCGGGGACTCGCGACGATCATCGAAGCCATCCCGAAAGAGCCGACAGACCTCGATGCCATCACAACCCTCCCAAATGGCCTGCGCGTTGCCTCTGAAGCGCTACCGGGCTCCTTCTCCGGCGTAGGCGTCTACGTTGATGCTGGCTCCCGGTACGAGGATGCTGGCCTGCGGGGCGTTAGTCACATTATGGACAGGTTGGCCTTCAAGTCAACGGGCAGCCGCAGTGCAGACGACATGCTCGAGTCCGTCGAGGCCCTCGGCGGTAACATTCAGTGCGCGAGCTCAAGGGAGAGCATGATGTACCAGGCGGCGACGTTCAACGGCGCCGTGCCGACTACAATTGGGCTGCTCGCCGAGACGATTCGCGACCCGAAGCTTACAGAGGACGAGGTGCTTGAGCAACTTGGCACCGCCGAGTACGAGATCAAGGAGATTTGGAGCAAGCCGGAGCTTATTCTGCCGGAGCTCGTCCACACGGCTGCCTTCAAGGACAACACCCTAGGCAACCCCCTACTGTGTCCTGAGGAGCGTCTCGGCAGCATCTCGAGGGAGACGATCAAGCGGTACAGAGATTTGTTCTACCGTCCTGAGCGCATCGTCGTTGCGTTCGCGGGTGTTGAGCACACAGAGGCGGTCAAGCTGGCGGAGCACTACTTTGGCGACATGCAGCCCTCCTACCAAGAGCCCACACTCTCAAGGACAGGTTCAGAGACCTCCATCGGCTCCGCGGCCTCGGAATCCACAGACACATCCTCATCCGCCTCCGCCTCTTCCTCTCCCGTCCAACAACCCTCAAAGCTCCTCTCCAAAGTACCCTTCTTCAAAAACCTCTCCACTTCAGCACCAACCAACGCCTCCGTCCAGAACAGCAGCACATCGCAGCTCTACGGCATCAACTCACCAGCCCACTACACCGGCGGCTTCCTCTCCCTCCCGCCCCAACCCCCGTCCCTGAACCCGAACCTCCCGACCTTCACTCACATCCACCTCGCCTTCGAGGGCCTCCCCATCTCCTCGGACGACATCTACGCTCTCGCGACCCTGCAAACGCTTCTCGGCGGCGGCGGCTCTTTCTCCGCCGGCGGTCCCGGCAAGGGAATGTACTCCCGCCTCTACACAAACGTCCTCAACCAACACGGCTGGGTGGAATCCTGCGTTGCCTTCAACCACTCCTATACCGACTCCGGCCTCTTTGGCATCTCCGCCAGCTGCATCCCCGGCCGTACGGCGAGCATGCTCGACGTAATGTGCCGCGAGCTCCGCGCCCTCACCCTCGACACGGGATTCTCGGCTCTCAAGGCGGCGGAGGTCAACCGCGCCAAGAACCAGCTCCGCTCGAGCTTGCTCATGAACCTCGAGAGCCGTATGGTGGAGCTCGAGGATCTCGGTAGGCAGGTGCAGGTCCACGGGCGCAAGATTCCCGTCACGGACATGTGTCGCAAGATTGAGGCGTTGACAGTCGAGGACCTCCGCCGCGTGGCGCGTATTGTCGTCGGCGGGCTGGTCGAGAACCCCGGCAAGGGCAGCGGGGCGCCGACGGTTGTGTTGCAGGAGGCGCAGGCGCATGGTATTAGCACGCACACTATTGAGTGGGAGGCGATTCAGAATACAATTTACGACTGGCAATTGGGGAAGCGGTAAGAGAGGTGTGCTTTGTTCAGAGGCACGCGTAGGATAACGCTGAGCGACGGGAAAGCTGGCTCGGCTAGGGATGTTGTCTCGATAGATTGTAGCGATCGCGGGCTGTGTTGGGATAGAGAGATGGCACAGGAAGCGGCCATGATTTGTATCATAGAAGAGAAAAGAGACAGAAGAGCACTCGACGAGTCGGGAAGGGTTGTGTAGGGTGAAGTGTAAAAGTATTTAATGGCTGACTGGGCAATTATCGAAACAAAAAGGGGGCTTTCCTCCAAAGACACATTTTGTGTCCTCGTAGCAGCAGCTTTGTAGAAAAAAATATCCCCTTTTCATTCAACCGCAGATATCAAACCAGATGATAATGTCTTGTGCACTATTTACTGGAGTAGCAAGCAAAGGAGTTCATGGCATGTGAAGGTGTTTGAATAGTGTATTGAATTTGTGTACATTGTAATATCTGTCCTGTGTCGTAGTAGGGTAAAAACACCCGAGGATCGTGTAATAGTTGTAGTGTATGTTTAGTCTAGGTATTCGTCTTCCTTCCCCAAAGACAAGAAACGCCAGTGAATCCATCCCATCAAGCTGTAGCCGCTAAACTCCTCCCACAAAGAGACAAAGAAAAAAAAAAGGATGAGAAATGGGTGATGGCGTTGAGATGAAGCTCTGTCCTGGTCCCATGAAGCGCGGAGAGGTATGCTCAAGTTACGCCATCGCCCTCAAAGCTTCAACCGAATCGCCTCAAGCCGATACTTTACATCCTTGAGCGCCTTCGTAACAGGCTTCCACTCATCAAATTGCCGCAGCAGCTCCTCCGTCTCAGACGACAGCTCGGTACGAACGAAGTCCTCCTCCAGCAGGCCGCGCATGATCCACGGCAGGTGATACGGGTTCGGGTTCGCGACAGAAGCGCCGGCTCCGGCACCCGTCGAGTCGCGGCGATGGGCGACGGTAGCGGGCACGTTGGGGCGGACGTCAGACGTCTCGAGGGCGTGTGTGAGCGCGAGGTCGTAGACCTGGTCGTCGTAGTAGAGGCGCGAGTGGCCTTCGCCCGAGTAAAGGCTGCCTGCGAGCGGGGTGGAGAGTTCTCTTATCAGTCCATGGTCTGAGACACCTAGGTTGCGGAGTTTGAGGGCGAAACCGACAAGGTGGGCGATGCTGTATGAATGTGTTAGTGGTGCGTATGGAATGCAGGGGTAGCGAATCCGCTCACAAATCTGGCGCGTGGATGCGGCCGTCGATGAATACAGCGCGGTAGATGTAGGGGTGAGATGCTGGTGAATAGATAGCTGACTCCATAGGCACGAGCTGGTCGTCAATGCTGCCGATATATGTGATTCTTGCGCCGTACTTCAGGACTTCTTTGAGCGAGTGCTCGTATCTCTTGGAAATTTCGCTGTCTGGGTTTGAGAATTCCCACAACTCGTTGGCGGCTCCCATGAGAATTCCCATACTCGACTTGTAGTCTGGGAACGGACCCAACGAGACTCCGGCTGTGGACGTCAGTTGTCATTCTTAAAGCGGGCTGTCTGGAAAATGCCTTCAATGACTTACCCATTGCGCAAACGCCGATTTTGGCATTCGTTATTATGCCCAGATCTATCAACTTCGCCAGCAGCATGACTCCTACAGGCACACCTTGAGAGTGACTGGCGACCAGAATGAGATCAGCATTGCGAATGTGCTCAATCCAGTTAAGAAGAAGCTTCCACAAGTTGTCCACTCTGTCCGCAATCTTCCCGTCACCCTCCAAAGCGACCTTTTCGATTTCGCAGTCGGGGCATCCATGGGCATCGGTCCATCTCCTGATGGCTTCGGCGCCAAGATTTGCGAAGCGCAATGATGTCCCTGTCGGTTGGCCGACCATGGGTCTCAGATACATCGCCGGGAAGAGTCCGTGTACGCCAATCGCGATAGCTTTCTTGATCTTTGGCGTTTCCTTTACCTTATAAACATGATTCGCCGGGGGCTGCTGCGTGCGAAGCAACAAGGAGGTAATTTGTTTGATGATGGATGGGTTGTCTTTCATCCGATAGGTACTCCCAAACGATGGTAAGAGCAGATTCGCAGGTATTGCTTTCGAAAGTGTTTCTTGGCTTGGGCTAGCCTTTGGTGTGCCTGGTTTCAGGGGTGGTTCTTTGGGTGTCGTTTCCGCCAAAGAAGCCTTCGATGAGGCCACCGATTCCGGCCGATTTGGTGTCCCTGGCCTAGATGGTATGTCCAGGTCCATCGACTGAGGACGGTTTCTCTTACTCTTCCTTCCAAATGTTGATGGTGCTGACGCGTTACCTACCTTGGTACTTTTGGACGACTTTGCATCTTTAGTGGTCTTGGCATTCTTCCCGTCTTTCGTTGCTTGGTCTGA